GGGGGAGAGGGAGGGAGAGGGGAAGAGGAGGAGCAGGGAGAAAGGATAGCAGGAGAAGGAAGAGGGGAGGGAGAAGTGGGTGGGGGAGGAGGGGGGAGAAACGATAGGAGGAGGGAGAGTGGGGAGAAAGGATAGGTGGAGAAGGAGGAGGAGTAGGGGGGAGAAATGATAGGAGGAGAAGGAAGAGGGGGAAGGTGGAGAGAAAGGATAGGAGGAGGAGGGGGAAGGAGAAGGAGGAGAAAGAGGGCAGAGAGGATGGGAGGACAGCTAGGACCCCTGCTGTCCTTTTGCAGATGGGGCCCTGAGCATGGGATGTGCCTGAGGTCACCCCTCAGGCATTAGCAGAGCCAGCACTGTGACCTGGGTCTACCAATCTCCCCAGCCCCCAGGTGAAACCCTGGCCCACCACTCAGCACATGCTACGTAACCTCAAGGAGCCTCAGTTTCCCTCCATGTAAACACAGCTTGCTAGGCTGTCTGGCGGGGCTTGCAGCAGAGGTGGCACCTGTGGCTGTTCCTGCGGAATCCCACCTCCCCGTGACCCTCCAAGGCAGCAGTTATGACAGCTGATGCCAGCCCTGAAATCTCTAAGCAAATAAGGATCCCAGGAGGGCGGCAGCATTTGCATGCGGGTGTGTGAAAGCCCAGCCCAATGGGCTGCCTCTGTTTGCAGCTCTGAGCCCCACACCCCTTTTTTAAACAAAGACAGATCCTGCTCCAGGAGCCAGGAAGCCTTTCCCTGGCCAGCTGTGCTGGGCCCCTCCCCTGCCTGCTTCCCGGCCCACGTGCAGGCAAGGAGAGGGCATGCGAGTGGCTGCCACTGCCTGGGCGGGGCTCCAAGGGCTGCCCCTCCCCACCCTCTGTCCCGTAGTGGTGCCTGGACTCTACTGCCAAGACCAGGCTCACGTTGAGAGGTGGGCTATGACCTCCGAGGCCTCTTCTGGAAGCCACTGTGCCAGGTGAGGACCCAGCCTAGACGTGCGGGCCACGGGGAGAAGGTGGAGCTTTGGACTCTAGGGAGGCAGGGCGGCACCCGAGCCCACCAGGACCTTCACACACCCTGGCCTGTGGGGAGGCAGTGCCAGGGCCCGCCCTGGTCCCCAGAGCCCCATGGGGCACAAGGAGGGACACATGCTTACTGCGGCTCTGGACAGGGCACACCCAGGGTTGGTTTCCTGCCTGCCCAGGTACTCCCCCATGGAGCAGGTCCCTTCGCTGGGGTGGGGGCATCCCCCATTCTTTCTGCAGAGAGCTCTGAGGAGGGGCCCGCCTGCCCACCACAGCGGGATGGGGGGCACGGGGGGCTGAGGGGTGGCCGAAACAGCGGGATGGGGGCACGGGGGGCTGAGGGGTGCCCACCACAGCGGGATGGGGCACGGGGGGCTGAGGGGTGGCCGAAACAGCGGGATGGGGGCACGGGGGGCTGAGGGGTGGCCGAAACAGCGGGATGGGGGCACGGGGGGCTGAGGGGTGGCTGAAACAGCGGGATGGGGGGCGGGGGGCTGAGGGGTGCCCACCACAGCGGGATGGGGGGCGAGGGGCTGAGGGGTGGTCGAAACTCCTCGGGGACTCTCCAGGAACACCCCTCGGTCCGTAGTGAGGCTCCCAGCCTGGGGCCGGGGCTGAGTCCTAACACTGACACCTGGCTCGGGCTTCAGGGGCAGGCAGGCGCAGGTGGTCCGCGCTCAGTCTCTGTCTCTCTGGGCCTCTGCTAATCCGAAGTGAAGGGTAGGACTAGAAGGTCACCCCCTCTGACCTCCTGTGGTGCCTCCACGGTCACACCCTCCGGTCATTATCGCAGCTCAAAACGCCAGCCCCAGCTCGAAACCCCTCCCTCCAGGGCCACAGATGTCATGCTCTTGGCCCCGTTTTGCCAGCCCGAGACTGGGAGCCACAGCACCTGTCCTCCCACAGAGAGAGACCCCTGGGGCTAAGGTGCAGGAGGAAGCTGGGACCCCCAAGAGGAGTGAGGCCGGGCTCCATCAGGCCCACCTTGCTGGGGAGCTCAGGGCCTCGGGGTCCTGGCATTGGGTCCTCAGGCCATGAGCGAAGGCAGGCGACTTGAGGGGTTGCCTGTCCCTGGCTCACACAGCTCCACCCTACAGATAGGAGACGGAGGGTTGTCTGTACTCCAGGCCCACCTTTCTGGGCCTTCTCAGGCTCCACTGAGTACCCAGGCAGAGTGGACGGTATTCAGGACTGGGGGACACGGGCACTCACTGGATGGACAGACAGACAGACGCCTGCTGTGCCGGGCCTGCCAGACACTCCCTCCCCAGCACTGGTTTCTCCCTGGAACTAGTGACGGGCTAGGAGGTTCTCCATGTGCTCATGGCCAGGAGTCTGCCGGGCCTGCACGGCCCCATTCTACTCTGAGTCAAGTCTGTAAAGTGAGCTCACTGCAGGCAGTGTGGTGGCTCCAGGGGTGGGTCTCACGCATCTCCTCTCTGACCCCCGTCCCCACCCAACCTTGGCGGGTGCAGGAGCAGGATGCTGCGGCGGCGGGCCCAGGAAGAGGACAGCACCGTCCTGATCAATGTGAGCCCCCCTGAGGCAGAGAATAGGGGCTCTTACGGGAGCACAGCCCACACCTCGGAGGTAACACAGCGCCCAGGAGACCGTGGTGCGACTTGGGAGGTCCTCCGCTGCCTGGGTCTATGTCCCCACCCTGGGCCCAGAGCCTTTGGGGGTGGATGGGCATCACCGTGTTTCCCCTGCATCCCCTGGCAACCCCCAAGCCCTCGCCACCCTGTCCTCAACCGCCTGCCTGGCCCGGCCTGGCTGCGGAGAACTGAGCAGAACCCACTGGTGTTCAGACAGGAGCCCCAGGAGGGTAAGGGGGGCCTGGCCAGGCAAAGGCAAGACCAGGGCAGGGCCCTCCCTGTGGGGCCAGTCCCAGTCAGTGCAGGGCCACAGCAGCACCCAGGTCCATCTGTAGGGCTCCACCTCGTCACTAGGAGGCCATGGATTCGTTGTGAGCCTGTGGGGAGAGGCTGAGTCCCGGGCCTTCAAGGCCATGCAGGTGGCCCTGGCCGTGGAGGGCCCTCTTCCTGGTTCTTCTGGGCCACACATCTGCCCCAGCAGCCTGCGGGTGGACATGGGGCCCCTTCCTGCTGCCCCAAGCACAGCTGAGATGAGCCTCCAGGGAGGGGGCAGGGCCTCTCACCTCGAGCATCTAGACACTCTCGGTCGCCATGGCCACCTCTGTCCTCAGGGCCACTTTGGGAGCAGTCCGGCTCCCCTCTGCCCCTGGAGGCCAGCAGGGCAGGCACCCCTGCTCCTGGCCATGCTTCCCGCCAACCTGACCCTTGCCATGGGCCTGGCCTGAGGAGGAGGGGAGCCGGCTGGAGGCCCGGGGCTGGTGGTGCCCTCTGGCCCTGCCTGCCACTCCCCGCACCTGTGCGTCCTGGGGCTTCCCCCTCCAACCTCCACCCCTACCCACCCGCCACACACTCTTCTGTGGTCCTGAGCGTTCTGGGGCAGGGCAGGGACGGGTTGGAGGCGAGGACGGCTGCAGGGTGGGGTGGGTTGGAGTAGTCATCATGGGCAGATGCTGATATGCTCCTCCATCCTCCATGCCTTCCAGCCAGGTGGACAGCAAGCGGCCGCCTGCAGAGCTGGAGCTGGGAGCCCTGCCGAGTCCCGGACTGGTGAGCCCCTCCCAGCATCTGTACCACACCCGAGTTGGTCCTGAGGGTGGGGACACCACTGGGGTGCCCCCAGGGGCAGCAGGCCGGGGGTGGCCTCCTCAGTAACCAGGACGCTCTGGGGCCAGTTGCTTGGGGATGGGGCATTGGGGTGAGGGCCTCGGGGTGAGCAAACCATAGCAGGAAGAACAGCAGGAAAGGGGGCTCCCTACTGATGGGGTGGGGCCAGGAGGGCTCTGGAGAGCAGACAGGGCGGCCCCCTCCCCCCTGCTCCCGTCCCCTCTACCATCCTCCAGCTGTTCAGCCACAACTCAGGTCATTTCTGACTCTTATCTCTTGCACTCCACCCCTTTTATACCTTCAAACTCTCTTTGATCCACCCCCAACCCACTGCCTCTGTCTGCCTGGAGCTACCACCGACTCCCAGGGGATTGCACCAGCACCGCCCGGGCTCCCAGCACCCACCCTACCCACCCTGCTGTCCCCTCAGTCCCAGAGAGACCCTAACCTCCTCCCACCAGGATGGCTACTACTTAAAAGGAGATACCTGTACAGCCGCAGCATCATTCACGGTAGCTGGAAGGTGTGCATTCGTCTGCCGGGACTGTCATAAGAAGTACCACAGCCTGGGCCAGGCACAGTGGCTCACGCCTGTAATCCCAGCACTTTGGGAGGCCAAGGCAGGTGGATCACCTGAGATCGGGAGTTTGAGACCAGCCCTATCAACATGGAGAAACCCTGTCTCTACTAAAACTACAAAATTAGCCAGGCGTGGTGGTACATGCCTGTAATCCTAGCTACTCGGGAGGCTGAGGCAGGATAATCGCTTGAACCCAAGAGGCGGAGGTCACAGTGAACCGAGGTCGCGCCGTTGCGCTCCAGCCTGGGCAACAAGAGCGAAACTCCAGCTCCAAGAAAAAAAAAGTACCACAACCTGTGGGGCTTAGATGGCAGAACTTTCCTTTCTTACACTCTGGGGGCTGAAGTCCGAGGTGAGGGTGAGGCAGGGCTGGTGGCTTGGAGGCCTCTCTTTGGCTGTTGCAGACGCGCCTTCTCCCTGTGTCCTCACACCCCTGGGGTCTCTTCCTCTTATAAGGACACCAGCTGTCATGGATTAGGGCCCATCCTAATAGCCATCATGGGTCTTTAATGACCTAATCTCCAAATACAGTTTCATTCTGAGGACTGAGGGGTGGGGCTTTGATATACAAATTTTGGGGAAACTTAGTTCAGCCCATATCAGGGTGGAAGCCATCCACGTGTCCACCTACAGATGACTAGGCAAGCAAAATGTGGTACTTCCATCCAACGGATTTATTCAGCCATAAAAAGGCAGGAAATTCTGACACAGGCTGCAATGGGGATGAGCCTTGAGGACATTACGCTACGTGAAATCAGCCAGTCGCAAAAGGACAAACGTGATTCCACTTATATGAGGTCCCCAGAGTGTCAAATTCATAGAGAAGGTAGACTGGTGGGTGCCAGGGGCTGGGGCTGGGGAGGGGAGGGGGAGTTGGTGCTTCATGGGTGTAGAGGTTCAGTGGAGATGGATGGTGGTGATGGCTCAGAAGAATGTCAGTGTCCTTAGTACCAATGACCTGGACACTTAAATGTGGTTAAGATGGTTTTTGTTTGTTTGGGTTTTGTTTGTTTTCATTTATGTTTTTGTTTTTTTGGGACGGAGTCTCGCTCTGTCACCCAGGCTGGAGTGCAGTGGTGCGATCTCGGCTCACTGCAAGCTCCGCCTCCTGGGTTCAAGCTATTCTCCTGCCTCAGCCTCCTGAGTAGCTAGGACTACAGGTGCGCACCACCACGCCCGGCTAATTTTTGTGTTTTTAGTAGAGACGGGGTTTCGCCATTTTGGTCAGGCAGGTCTTGAACTCCTGACCTCAGGTGATCCACCTGCCTCAGCCTCCCAAAGTGCTGGGATTATAAGCGTGAGCCACCACGCCCAGCCTAAGATGGTTTTTTCAAAACGTAGACAGCCCTTATTTTCTCAGAATCCTCCACATGCCCCCTCTGTGTGTGTGAGGCTTAAGTCATCCTCGCAGCTGCATGCGTGGCCATGGGCCCACCCCTCCCTCCCAACCCCACCAGGCCCTCAGACCACATCTCCTCCTACCACTCCTACCAGAAGCTCCCCACCCTTCATTCCAAGACTGGCACCTCCCAAGATACAATCTTTTTTTTTTTTTTTTTTT